ACGGAAGCTTAAGAAGCTAAGCAGAATAATATTATTATTAAAGGTGGTATATTGTATCTCCACTATTGATGTTAATAACTCAATGTCAATAGATAGAAAGAGAAGGATCACAGAAAAGACTGTGTAGGAAATTTTATAACCAAAGAATGATTGCGAGAATGGAAGTGGAGAGTGATAAGACGAAGTTTGAATAGGAAGAAAGAAGAATACATAAATTGTGCTGACTTCAGATAACAGAGGACACTTAGGTAATAGGAGCCACTCCCTCAGCTTCCGGCTGACGCAGGTGCTTACCGGACACGGGTGTTTCGGGAAGTACCTGTGTCGCATAGTCCGGGAGCCGACGTCTCAGTGCCACCATTGTGGTAATTGCCGCGACGATACGGCGCTGCATACATTGGCGGAATGTCCAGCTTGGCCCGAGCAGCGCCGTGACCTGGTCGCGGCCGTAGGTGCTGCGGGAAATCTCCCGCTTCCGGCTGTAGTGTCTATGGTCGGGAGCGAGTCAGGGTGCAGTGCCGTCGCTATCTTTTGCGAGGCCGTGATGCTCGCAAAGAAGGCGGCGGAAAGGGAGAGAGAGGCTGCCTCCTCTCTTCCCTCCCGCAGCAGACGCACTAGACGTCGTAGAGTGGCCGACCTGCGGCCACCGTAGGGCGCGGCCTGCGGACGACAGACTCGGGGCGTCTAGTCGTCCGACCAGCAGCAGGCTTCGAGGCGGCGGTGCCGTGTTCCACGCGCGCCTCATAGTGGAGTCCTGCGGTCGGGGTGACAGCCGCAGTGGGTGACGGGGCCCGCCTTACCATCTGGCGGGCCAATACCCGTCGGGGGGTTGCGACGAATGCTTCGGCGATACCCGCCCCTCCGACACATGGGTTATTGGAGGAACACCGGGTTGGTTTTTAGTCAGTAAGAGTCTGACAGTACCCTTCGCCCTTACCCGAGGGCGGTGGGTTTCCATGTGGATTTTCCAACCCGACACCAAAAAAAAGGACACTTAGGTAAAGACATAATAAATGAAATGAAGTAGAAGTTTTGCTTTTTATAAAGCAATATAAATAATACTTATTTTATGTATTAAACTGTTTTTAAATTGCTCATCAATAGGTAAATTATCAGGTTTGTTAGAAGAGAGAAGATTTTCCCGCCTAAACCCTACAACGTATTTGGAAAGTCCTAGAGCTTGGGAGACCATCTTTAGTATTTGACTAAAATAGATTAAAGGAATCTAATCGCTCCAAACTTAGAACTATAAAGAATTTATTAGAAATACGCGAATCAACTGAAAAAACCTCTTCTGGTTTCAAGTCACAACGGGACTTTCATTCATGAGCAGCTGGAGGTTGTGGCGACGTCGCCCAACCAATTGACTAACTGCTAGCTTTGGCTAGTAGTGCTTTTCTTAGTTTATTCACGTGAGTAAATTGTTATTATTAATAACTTAATTTTGGCTCACGACACGTAGAATACAAAACGTTGGTTCTTACTTACAATGCATTTCCACTCGAGCAGTTCTTTCATGAGGACTCAATAATGGTGTGTTGGTGGCTTGACACCTGATGCTGGTGTTCAACCAGCTTCTTTCAGCTCCTCCAATGCTGATGCGGCTGACGATGACCTTGCCATCATTCTTCAAGATAGTGTGGTCGTCAATCTGCTTGTTGTTGATCAACCAAGTGAGGGTTGGTTGTGGACGACCTGGTGGTGGAAAAGTTGCAGTTTTTATTGTAAAGTAATTACTTAGTTTGCAAATAAAATTCTAGATAACATGGGTCTCTTACACACAATTTGTCATTAGTCGCCATAAGGAAATCTATGGGCAAAGGATAAAAAATATTTTTAATTCTCTTCTCGTCCGATCAGCTACGCTCAAGTAATCAACGCAATGATTTCTCAAAAATATATTTAAGTCATTAGGTTAAATTTATAATTTAAAATAATCTCAGCAGCTTACAACCACGAAATCATTTAACCTTTCTTCAAGCTAACCGCTCATAGCAAACAATAACTCAGTACTATCGGCGTAACCACGGAAATTACAACTTTAAACACTTAGTACAAGACATACAAAAAGTCTAGGCTTCTAAAGGAACTAGTATTAAACAATTATACAGGGCTGAAGAACTTGGGCGTTTCTGAATTCAGCAAATTTTGCGCTGCAGCATAACTTTCAGCCGAGTTTTGAGCGTAAACAAGTAGGGTGCGACCAACAAGGTTACCAAGAGTCAGTTAGTTGAACTTTAACCGTCTCTTATCTAACTGGAGTTTAGATCCTTTTGAGCTAACTGCGCTGACCTTTCGTGACTCCAAGGGATGTTAACTGCCTTTTAGCAAGTTATTGAGCTCAACCACCGGAAACATAGTTCGTAGTGCGACATTCTAGTGGAGCATTTTGACCTACGAATCTTGCAAAGTGATTTTGATCCGGAAAATATTTAATTTAAATTTTTTTGAGTTATTTTTATACTATAATACATTTATGTTGAAATAAATCAACATAAAGGTCAATTCGAACATGATTTACATTCAAAAAACTTCGAGTTCGTATATTTGTCGGTTATGCAAGTTCAAATTACTAGAGAACAGTCACGAATAACGAACAAATATCAACGAAAAGAAAGAAACACCATAAAAAGGGTGACCTCATCAAGAAAGTTGGGAAAACGTACAATAAAACCTGATTTTCTATATTTTTTCTAAGTAACAAGAAGGAACTCAGTGAAATGTAGCCACTTCATAATCAGAGGTAACATTTTCTCGTCAGATTGGGAGGAAAAACGGGACAAAAATACAACGCCATGCCGCGGGCAGATGACAGCAAGCTAGAAAAATTGTGTATTAAAATATTCATACGAAAATATTCGTTTTTGATAAAAATTGGTTTTTTGTCACACAATAACTAGGTTCATAGTTCAAAAACAAAACAAAAATGGATGAATATTAATTGGGTTTCCATTTTATTCAGTATGAAAGCGTAAATACCGGAAATGGCAGACCATAAACTGACCAAGCTTTTTCGTTATTTATGAGATATGATCGTAAAGTGTCGGTGTGAAACAAATAAATTTGATATACACACACTTACTTTGTTTATTCGTTTTTTGATTTATCAATACGTTGAATAAATTATTGGAATATTATTTGCAACTTTTATCAGCTGTATTTAAGTGTTGAGAACTGGGTAGTTCAAATTTGGCTGTCTGATATTTAGGGTCTCTAGGATTGTGTTTATAAATATGATGATAATGTAATGTTAATTCATTAAACGTTGAACAAATGTGTTTTTGCTCTTCTAAAGGTGTAACCAGAAAGTTAGTATTTGTGTCTTGTAGTCAATCGCATATTTTAAAATATCGGACTGATTCTTTTTAATCAAATTAAACAAACTACTTTCTATATGTTAAACTGTTGTAATAGTTCGGAAATAAAGACTATTATTATTATTATTAAACAAACTAAAAAAAAGTTAAAAGTCGAAACTTATATTTAAATAAGACCATAATAGGCGGTTTTTTTTTCAAACAAAGGTTTAAAGTTAATTGATATTAGTATATCGGTCAGTCCTCTTCGTGAAGTTATTTGCTCGTTCCAAAGTCTAGATTCCTATGGAGTAGAACAAATAAGAAACTCCATGGTCACTCTCTCACAATGCATTGCAACATTAAATGCATTTACCAAAAGAAAAAGCAACAAAATTATAGATGAAAGAATAAAATTTACTAAACTAAAAAAAACAGCATTGACTAAAAGAATTCAAATGGAAATGAAAAATATTTCAGTCTTATTTATAGGTTTTTGAAAACATCTTATCTGTAAGTTACGACAACTACAAAAGACACACTGAAAGAATATTGAATCAACTCACAGGACAATCACAACTTTTTATTTCAGCAAGTACGTTGTTACTCATAATAGTTTCAGGTTTTTTTTCGTTGAAAAAGCTGAAAGAAGTTGCGACTGGAAGCGTACAAAGTTTGTTTGTAACTAGAATAAGGGACTGCATAATGTATGTGATATTGTAGTGTGGAGTTTGGGGGAGGAAAGGGGGGGGGGGGGTAAAAATGTCTGTTGATGAGGTAACCTTAACAGGTTATTATATTTAAAGTTCTTTTAAGAAATTTAAATGTGTATTTTATAATGTGATTAGCCTAGACTACAAAATAATTTTGACTTTGTGTATTAATTTATTATTTTTTTATGTCTGAAACACTTAGTAACGACATCTGTCTTTATTAATAGCTTCCGCCCGCAGCTTAGCACGCGCATAAACGTATTGTATCCCGGGATATTAAAACCAACAGCGTGTAATAAATAGAGAAAGAATTTTGAAAAACGAACCTGCGCGGCGGCGGTTGCATTTCCATTACCCCTACATACTAATGTTACCTCTTTGTAATATTAGTTTTTAAACAACAACATTGTAAAACAAAGACAGTCCCGTCAACAAAGAAAATCGTTGTCACCGCACTCCTCGAGTCGCTATTCTGAAAAACTCGAAGGCAAAATTGTATAAATTTTAACGAGCGATAAATATCGACACGTTGTTGTAATAAGGAGCCCGAGGGGAGAGGGGGGAGGTGGAAGGGGGGGGGGGGGAGGAACTAAACACCTTCTCACAAATATACGTACCTACATTTTAAATGCGAAACCATTTCTTGCTTTATTTTCTTCTGCATTAGCTTAATTGAATTTGTTTTGGATTTATTTTCGCCTAGAACTTTGTAATTATGTCTTTCGACCTATCCAAGAAGGTTTTAGATTAAATCTTCTGTGCGTATCCTTGAAGTTAGATTATTGTTATTTTAATTGTAAGCAAAAACCAAATTAACATACATATACATTATACTTATCTCTACTAACTTTTAAACTTTCGCGTTTCATCTTAACAACATTATATTTACGCGGGTATTAACGCGGAAAATTATAATTTGAATACCTTGGTAGGCTTGACGTTTCGACCCGGTTGCACAGGTCGTGGTCACAAGCAGACTGAAGACGCGATGTCACAGCTCCTTGCATTCGGGTGATGAATCTTCATCTATCCCCTTATTTTCATTTTCTACCATATTAGGCCGTCTACACACTACGCTGATTATATCCACAGATGTGTTAACCGATTTTGAAGGAAAACGAGGTTGTGTTTTGCGAAGCACTGGATTCCACGTCGACGACAATTTAAAGCCGTTCTCCCGATTGAAATTATTTGGGCATTTCTTTATTTCAACCGCTTCACGCATAAGTCTTGTATGGTAGTGGCGATCAGTGGAGAGAATTTGCGGTCGGTGGAATTCTACCCAGTGATTAGAACCAGCCTGGAGCAGGTGTTCTGCTATCGCTGATGAAGATTCATCACCCGAATGCAAGGAGCTGTGACATCGCGTCTTCAGTCTGCTTGTGACCACGACCTGTGCAACCGGGTCGAAACGTCAAGCCTACCAAGGTATTCAAATTATAATTTTCCGCGTTAATACCCGCGTAAATATAATACTTATCTCTGTCATAATAACTTAGAAAAATGACACCATATCACAATTAATATAAAAAATGCAATCGTATTAAAGATAATGGCATCGGTAGATTAAATATAGCATACGGAATAAAATATGTGTAAAAAAAATATAAATACCAAAAAATAACCTTTACTTGATGGGGTAAGCACAATAAACATTTATTAAATGTTAACAGCCATTTTTACAACCATTTTTGGGTGCGAAATCATACAATGATTTCTGGCGCCTTTTTTATGGTATAGGTCGGCAAACTAGCAGATGATGGTAAGCAATCAGCGCCGTCCATAGACATCCGCAACATCAAAGGAAAGTTACGAGTGCATTGCCGGCCTTTTAGGGATAAGAGTTTTAGATATTTACCCCGTGGTGTGCCGGAGTGCAGATATACGCGAGACACAATGTGTTTTCTATTGTGTCTCATATACCGGCAGACTAGCGGTTAAGGATTGGGAATTAGGTCGAGCGATTGGGCCTCCGGTAACCTCACTTACATGGCGAAACACAACACTGTGGTTATTTCACGCCGGTTGTCTGTGCGGCTGTGGTATCGCTCCGGTCGAGCCGACCCATTCGTGCCGAAGCTTGGCTCTTCCACACTTAGTCTTTAGAAGTTAAAAGCTCAATAGTCTTATGGGTCTTATAACTTAGCCAGGGTGAGAGGAAGTGTCAGACTCTTACTGACTAAAAACCAGCCTGTTCGTTTGCCTGCTTCGAGCCAGGCCATGGCACATCATTATACTTGCACCCATCCATCTACGTGGTTGGGTGACGACCAACTTTTGCTCACCGTCCGCAGATCCGTTATAATGGTGGCAATTTTTTTATTTAAATAGCAATGTACATTTTCATGTTTGTGAAGTGCGATCTCGCAACTTAATTTTGTATCAGTTGTATTCAACTCTGGCTTTAAATTTTGTTTACATCATGAACGTTAATGCTGAGCTGTGTGACTTAAATGCATAAAGTCTTGATATACTGGAACTTTGGACCACCTGATTAAAGATTTTTTGATCAGTTACATTACGACACTAAATGGAAACAAGTTCACTATTTTACCAACCAAAACTCACAATTCCAAACTCCATTATTCTACTAAGTATATCCTTAAACCAACATAAAATTTTCCCGACCCGGTTATCAGCTAGGACCATTTGACCAACAAGTAAGTGAACTCACAGAGCAATTAATTGGAGCAAAAAGCTTTTCCGTCAAACGTGAGAGTTTTTATCAAGTTGCAAAGTCATTTGTTTATATTTAGTTGACAAAGTGACGTGTTAGTTAAATGGTTTAAAGCGACGTACATTGTTACCCGTCGCCGGACGCATATATATTCATTTGTGAGCCATCGTCTCCGTCCTTATATTTTTCAAGAAGTTAATGTTGGACGTTGTGGGTTTGTTGAAGTTGAAAAGTATTTTTATGCTGCTGTGATTTTAGTTTGTTGTTGTGGATAGTTTTGTTAAGGAAAGTAGGTAGTTTCTTAAGGTGTAATATATTGTTTTTTTGAGTTTAAGTTGGTTGTTGGTGAGGGGAAAATCATCAAATGACTTCTCCCGCCCAGGGCCGGGCGGGAGAGAGTGTCAGACTCTTACTGACTAAAAACCTCCCTATTCCTTCTCCTAGGCCGAGGTCGCGTTGCCTCATTGCGTTTACCCCGCAACCCTGGCTGAACATATTCAGCCCTATAGTCCGTCTGTGGTGGTCTATTGGCTCATTGAGGTGCGCGCGGAACGCTACGCGCCGTACGCTCGGGTCTGGTTCTGGTCGGCCGGCGAGTTGCTCATACTCGCCGTCCGCAAACCGAGTTTAAATTGATTGGTTAGAGATTTACGAGTTGATTTCTTTTCTTATACACTCTAATGTCAATGGTCAATAATAGTAGCGATGGTTTAAAAGTAAGATTTTTTATTTAAAAAAACGTGTAAACAATCATGCGATTTTTTTATTTGATTTATATTAACAATAATTTACACAAACGCTTAACATTAGAACTTAATACATTGCAAGGTGGGAGAAGTAATTTGATGATTTTCCCCCTGACAAAATGGCCTAAAAAACAAAGCCTAAAAGCTAAGTATTTATTAAGTGACAAGTAATATAAACAAAAAAGAAAAATATTTTAATTTAATTTTTTACGTAAGTGTACAAAAATTTTGCCAACTCACGATTGAAACTATAATCTAGGTACCTACGTGCAAATACTACGAAAAATATGATTGGCAAAAAAGAACTGAAATCCCTAATGCAGTTTCGTACGACTCTTAATACCGGCGATTTCATAACCAATTCATAAAGTAAGTAAATAAAGTTGGATTGAATTGCTACCGAACGAGTACTAATTGGATTAAAAACTGAAAATGGATGAGTTTTTCATACATCACATACAATTAGGATGGAAAACTAGATTAACATTTTACTTAACGAGATTATGAACAGCCTGTATACGAGTTTCTATTTCGGCTTCAACACACTTGATAATATTCACGCTGTATTTTAATTTTAAAGTTGGGATATATTTTTTGTTGACCTGTGAAGGTTTTAATCATCATAGAAATGAAATTTATAGTGATGATATAATAAACAGGTATTTTTTATTAAAAACAAGCGTGTGACAGAACTAAAAACCGTTGAAACTCCAGCAAGCCAAGATCTATAGTAAACACAACCACGAAAACAATGAATGAAATCCAGCGCCTTTCAAGGTCATAAATCTTGGCTCTCGCAAAGAACTAAATCAGAAGATATATTTACTGGATAAAAAAACATAAAAATTAAATGATGTCATCCAGCTTTTGTTAAAAAGATCCTTCTTTGACGACTGTCGACGACAATAACCAACCACAAGAGTAACGAAACCATAATATTTATATTCATTTATTTTAGTTCTCATTTTATAACTAGATGGCGTTGCCGCAATTAAAAACGAGCTATGGTTTCGTTACAACGAGTTATATAAGTATGTAACATTTTTCTTTATAATCAATTCAAAATAGTTCAGTTCAAATCAGTGTAGTATAAAACAGTTCAAATTCAACGAACCAGCAGTTCAAACACTGAATACTCGGACTAATTTCAACCCCATTAGTTGCTACACAAGGTCATCGATTGCTTCGGTAATTAACAACGACACTGAATTAACAAGCTAAAATTTACAGAAAAAAATATTTAAATAATAGGTTGCCTGATCTGAACACCCAATCTAAGATCCATCGGCACCACTTAAACTAAGCAGTTGGACTTAAAATAATCGAAAAAAAAACAGCTGTTCTCTTAAAAACTTAGCTAACAAAGTAGGCATTTACTCAACTAACTGATTTCCAAAATCTTTTCAGTCATTCTGAAAGTTTCAGTCCAGGTTTCTTGTTGTACGAGTACCCATCCTGAAATCTTAACAATATAAAGTTCGAAGACAAATGGGTCGCCTGTTTTTAGTGTAATATGTGAATGATATATTTTTCAGGAATTTGTTATCTGAAAGGAGTTACAAGTTTTACAATGTAAATGGCGTGTTGAACAAAGAGGTTGTGTATTATGAAGGTTAAATAAAGTTTTATTTTAAATCGCGTTTACTCTATGTAGTAGGACCGATGGATTACCTGATGGTAGTTAATCAGGGCCGCCCATGGACACCCACAACAACAAAGGAGTAACGAGTGGATCGCCGACCCTTTGTGGAGTAGGTTTCGCAGATTTTGGGATCGGGTAAGGATTGGGCATCCAGTAACCGCACATAATATGGTAGTTTCCAACTAGTCAAATTCAATACTTTTATCCAAATGTCAAAAACTATACTTTGCTATGTTTGTATGAAAAACTGAGTTATGACATCATAGTATTTTTGCGCCAAATAGCCTACTTATTTCTGAAAAATTAGCTTAACAATATCTAAAACTTAGTGTATCGATTGATCGATGAATAAAGGTATAGTTATTTTTCGATATTTTATTGTATTGAAACGTGGAATTAATTTATTTTAGACCTAAGAAACTACCCGGTATGTAAGGGGGAAAATGGGATGTAAGGGGGAAAATACTATCTTAGTGCCCCAGTCAACCTCACCTGCTCGTGGTGCATCCTGCTGATTAACGAACGAGGCTCTGGCGACCGGCTCATGGCGGTATAACCATAAAATGTAGGCGTAGACAAATTCAGCAGACTAGTGTCGGGCAGCAGCGTCACTAGTGCGAGGAGCTACGCCCTGCGATCACCAACCCGCCTGCCCAGCGTGGTGATTACGGGCATTACCTCTAATGGCACGCCTAACGAAACGGCCCCCAGTTCCCGGTCGCCCCGCTATTCTTGGCCAAGTCGGCGGTCATAGTAACGGCGGGGTAGGGGGTGCTAAGAATCTCCGGGCTATGAAAGGCCGACAACACCAACTGACTGTGGCTACGTATAACGGACGCACGCTACGGCTCGATGAACATTTGGCACAGTTAGAGGTGGAGCTAGAAAACGTGAGGTGGCATATCCTGGGGTTATGTGAAGTCCGAAGACAGGGAGAGGATACCGTAACTTTGGAGTCTGGCCACCTCATGTACTACAGGGAAGGAGACCAACCATCACAGGGTGGCGTCGGGTTTTTGGTCCACAGATCTCTGTCAGACAGCGTTGTTGAGGTCTCCAGTGTGTCAGCAAGGGTAGCGTACCTTGTGATCAAACTCACCAAGAGGTATAACCTAAAGGTCATCCAAGTGTACGCACCTACCTCGACATACTCGGATGATGAGGTAGAGGAATTGTATGAAGACATTTCCAGGGCCTTACACACCACCCAAAAGGCCCATTTCAACGTTGTCATGGGAGACTTCAATGCTAAAGTGGGAGTACAGACTAGCGGCGAGTCGGTAGTAGGACCACATAGTTTTGGAAGCAGGAACCATAGGGGGCAAATG